GTTGCCTCTTGTGCATCTCACTTCTTGCCAACTTGAAAACCAGCTCCTCCATCTGTTGCAATTGTGTGCGGGCGACGTTGAGCTCATGCCTCTCGAAATACCAAAGAGCCGGGAGCCTGCCTTCGAATGCCCTCCCTTTTGACAAACATGGCACGTTATATAATCGGACCAAAGGGGTAGGAGTTCTAATCAGGCAATCTTCTATGATCTTCTAAGAATCTTCTATGTAACTACTGGTCATTAAGACAAACAAGTCTCCCGACTTGGCAAGTGGCAAGTTGGATCCATGATTCATCCATGCAATGGTTCAGAATGTGAGCCTCACGCGCTGCTCAGAGTCCTTCTTCGCCTGAAGGATCATCTGCTCGACCTTCACATCATTGCCATAATTGGGTTCCAACCCTCCCACCAGTCTTTTCGCACAATCTACAAAGGAAGCCCGCGAGACCCATCTGCTCCGAGTCACCTGTTTGCCGATGGCGGACGCCACATCGCCATGGAGCGACGCCGCCCTGAGACGGCGGGGGCAAGGGGCAGGGCGGAGGAATGCGGGTCTGGAAACCTATCTATCATTGGCGCCATGCGTGGGCCATAGGCCCACAACACACAGCGCAGCAAAAGGCAAACAACGAATCTGAGCACCCTGCATGGCACCCCAAATGCCCCGTAGTAACGGGGTGAGAGCCCTCTTGGACTAAAATGGCAGCGAAACATCAGTTCTGCACGTCTCCATCATCGTGCTGATTGCCATGAAATCGCCCATTTCATGTGCTGTGAGAGATACAAGAACTTATATGTGGTCTTCGTCTAGTAGCGCGTCTTTGCTCCTAGTAGCGATGCCCTTGTTCCTAGTAGCTTCTTGTTACTACTAGCAAGGCACCCGTTACTACTAGCGATGCACTTGTTATGGCAGTCCTTTCCCCGCTTCACTCTTGCTGTTCTCGCCTGCATGCCGGCCATCTGATCCATGAGGCCCGGCAAGCCACTCCTGGCTTTCACGTCGACCATCGCTTTCAACGTCTGCGTCACCCATGCGCCGAAGGTGTTCATGTTTCAGGTTCGGTTCAACAAAGCCCACATCTCCTCAATGCCCTTAGAGCCGGTGGGAGGCCCTGCGTGCAACTGCTCTGCCATCTGGCAGTCTATGAAGCAACTTCCACGACTTCCCCCTTTCTTGGCTTCTATGTTTGGCCGAGAGTCTATCATATCGTCCTCATCAGCTTCCTGCCACCAATGTGGAACGAGAACGTACGAACTGGAAAAAAATAAATATATATATATATATATTATTTTTTTGTTCAAAGGGATTGCCAAAATTCATGAGGTTGCGGGAAGGTTCTTGAAGGTAGCAGGATGTCAAAGCTAAGGCAGCTTTAAGGGGTGCATGCAAAAGCTGGAGGTCCTCATCTTCCTGTGGCACTGTCGTGTTGCTCCGAGGAATCACCACAGTCAAGTTGCCACTACCTGAGTTGTACCTCAGAACTCGGTCAAACAAACAACTTCTATATATTTTAACTTAATTACTTCTTGTTACTAGTAGCGTCCTTGCTCCTAGTAGTAAGGCCAGGAGCCCCTACAGTAGTAGCGTTCTTGCTCCTAGTAGCGATGCCCTTTGCTCCTAGGTTTCATCGCTCTCCTTCAACCAAATGTTCTTTCAACCTTGGCTTCATTGCCTGTCCTCTTTGCTCTCCGTACTCTGTCTGTTCATCTCCTTCATTCACACTAAGTTACAGTATATAGATGTTATTTGGTCTCTCAGTCTATCGTACTCAGTCTGATGTGCCATGAGTTACCCACATGATGTACTGTCCCACTGCTGCATGTCACATGGGGCACGTGACCGACACGTTCTTCACGTCGCAGCCCTTGGGCACGGAGAAGACCCGCTGCACAGCCGATGGCGGTCGTGGCTGATGCCAGGGTATGGGCCGAAAGTAGTGGTGACCCCACGGCCACTCGTCCAAAACGCTTCTAGACATGTTGGCTCCAAAGCCTTACAGAATTCAACACACTGATCGCGCAAATTATTTCAAACCTATATAGCTGGATCAGGCCTGCCATTGGCTGATCAAAGGCCCTTGATGATGGGTGCCGCTGATAACCAGCGACCTGCGAAATTGTGAATTTCGGACATTGCAGCCAACACTAGTGCCCAAAGCAATCTATATATATATAATCGCCACACTGCCACACCTACCAACTGCACGAACAGAGAGCGGCTTCTCGCTTGTCTTCGTGCCAAACTGGCCAAGGCTTGGTGGAAAAAGGTGCGATCTTACGCAAGAAAGCTCGAAGAGGGTCACTACTTCAATGTTAGACACGCTTGCAAGTAAACAAAGAGTGCTTGGCGTATCTTGGCATAGCGTATATGCATGAGGAAAACAGCCATGCACTGGTACGGCTACAATGATGTGTGACTGCGTGACTGCACCAAGACTAAGAGCCATGTCAGGAGCCTCATAGCCTGGGAGAACTGCTGAGATGAGAACACGACTCTGATGATCGTCGTGCACCTTACCAAGCTCACGTCAAGCTCTTCCAACATCAGCATGAACTCCAAAACAAAAGAAATAACTCCCGTCGGCCCGTCGAAAAACAAAAAAAAAACATATAATTACTGGTGCTTCAACAGTTCACTACTGTTGAATCCTACGGACATCTTCAACCAACACGTGTCTCAGTGCCTCGAAACTGCCCTGTGCCAAGCCATGATGACCTGTCGATGCCAGACTCGACATTCTCCGAGACGGCCAGCTGAGGCCCATGAGTAGGGTGGTCGGTGGCAAGAACGAATGATCATGTCCAACCTGTCGATTGGCTTCTTTCAGGAGCATACCACAGATGTGTGTTCATGATGTTGCTGATGAACCCTGTGAAAGGGGCGGCTGTTACTCGCTTCCAACTAAGAGACCAGGAGAAGCCAAGCAACAAGGCCCTAACAAGGCGTGAACTAGTTGGCGCTCATGAATGATATTAAAGAGTTCTACCCCAGCAGCTTAGCTCGAGAGCGGAAAACAACATAAACAGCGTCAAACACCACCATCCAGGAATTCAGCTGCAGTGTCGCAATCAGCTTTCGATCCCTGATGCACATGAGCCTTCACCAGCAAATGTTGCTGGATCCTTGCTTGGCGTTGATGGCCACTGCTCTGGAGAAAGCATCTCACCATGTTTCAAGCAAAGTTCCTTCAGGCACCAGGTTACCCCGGGATGTCTAACAAGGCAAACGGACTTGCTTAGACGAGACGTTGATAGAAAGCATAGGGCTCTCTTCATGGATTGCGTTTATAATAGCAGTGTGAATTTCACACGCCATCATGGAACAGAACCTCTGTGCGTGAAATGTTTTGTTTGTTTGTGGTGGGGAGCCTTCATTGTGCTGTGGCAATTTAGCTGTGGGATGCCAAAACTTAGCTGAAAGGCCCACAAACATTCAATTCCGAGAGAAGGTCCACCAGGGGAATACAAAAGTATTTATATAAAGAATGCCTTCTGAACTTCCCAAACAGCACGGTCCGGCCACACCTGCATGATGGTCGCCAAACATGTCCAGCAAGCCTCCCAGCTGCATCTGCATCTGGAGCGGCGAGCTTATGTTTCTGCGATTGTGTGCCTCAAATGTCAACTTATGTACAGTAACTATTCATACTTTATCCATTCATAGGGCACTCGCTTGCAACAACGAAGTCTTTGATTAATGTGGACCGACGCCAAGTAGTTTTGAGCCTGCACAGGCTGCACAGCTGTAGGCCCTCCAGCCTCGAGGATGCCAGGAAACACAAAGCACTGGATCAAGGTCCAAGAACATCTTCCCCACCTGAGCCTGGACCACCCGTTGCACATTCTTGTGCAAGTCCTACCCGCAGCCCGGCTCGAGGACAGGCAGTGCCCCTGACAAAACAATTGTCTCTCCTCCCAGGGGTTAAAGCCACTGTGGTGCTCGACGACAATCACCTGAAGCAGAAACTGCTGCAAAGGGAGGGGGGTGCATATCATTGGAAAATCAAACAACCAATGTCCGGGGATTGTTTATGAATATCTGAAAGTGGCCAGTAAAGTTCCGACATGCCATGCAAGTCATGAACGGACTATATATGCAGACATGAAAACACTAGGATTTTGAAAGAATCACACCATGCTGCTACAGAAAACCCTCGTGGCTGAAGCATGCTGAGGCTGTCTGTCGTGGCAACTGTTGTGTGAAAACCTGAGGTTCCCAACCGGCGCCCGACCAAAGGGGAAAGCACCCGGAAAAGCGTGCGGCAAACCGTGAGGGAGCCCGTGGGGAAGCGGCTGCACCTGGCCACTGGAAAGCAGATCTAAGCGCATTGACAAAAGTGTCCCGAATGCCATGAGCTGTCTTTGGACTTCTTTTGCATATTGCCTTGGGCACTTCTCCCAAGATCCCTTCGAATGGCCAACCGCCATCAGTCCCTGAGATCCAAAACGCTACGTCTCTTGAAAGATATCCGAAGCTGGTGAGGTGCCGATTGGTCGAGACCTTCCCACTTGGTGCCGAGCCAGGGAGCACCAGGAAAGCTACACATAAAGCTAGGTGCATCGAAAGCATGGTGTGGCAAGCGGCTGTGTTATGCATGTTAGAATCAGCTGAGAATTGGGTGTGAGTGAAGGTCTCTTTCTGTCTGCTCTCCTTTCTGAAGGTCGTCAGAGTCTAGCTATATTTTGCAGCAGTTTCTTTGCTCGGAGTGCACCACTGTCAAAAGTCTTAGCAACAAGACCTCCTTTTCTCTAGAAGTTCGTTTAAGCATGTCCTCTGAAAGGCCACATGGCTAGGAAAGCAATCCTTGGTCCAAAGCTAGATTCGATCGGAAAGCTGAATTCCTCTATGAATGTCTTCATGCATCATAAAGTGAACTCTATGACCATACTAATTGCCCTGCTGAATGTATCTCTGTGTCCTTCTTAGGTGTCTCATCCGTCCATGTCCCCTGCATCTAACGCCTCCGGACTTTTTTGGAACGGCTCCGGCATTTTGGAGCTCAAAACGGATTGTCTCTCAGAAGACTTCTGGCAGCAGACTCGCTGACGCGAAGTAGGATGACATTCCTCAGAATTCAGGCAACAATTCTGGAGAGCCAGCACAACATAGCACAACTATGCACAACTGCATGGACTGCATGGATGAAACTGTGCGATCGCAAAGTCGATTTCCTGAATTGATCTGAAGTTACGGTGGATCCGTGTTTTAATTCCTCCCACACTACAAACAGCATGCGTATATATACATATATATATAATATAGCACCCTTGACCCACTAGGCTATTGAATCTCACCTTCGCAGTAGTGAAAAGATGTGAAAAGTCCTATGGCATCCAAGCAACAAAACACCAGAGATTACCAAGCTGATGAGGCAGGAGCCAACGAGAATGCCATTTCCCAGCATCCAGTAGTTCAGCTCCACCTGCAGAAACTCCACCAACTTACGAGTACAGTACAACATCATTCCGCTTGATATTCCACCAGCTCCAAGCTAAGCCCAAAAACCGAAACACATCGCCTTCTCAGGATCCACCACCCACTGGACGAAAATTGGTTCCTTCGCACTCGCTAAGCCATAGGCGGCTGCCGCCTGCCTCACCGCCAGGCGATACCTGATCACGAGATTCCCACTGAAACATGGTCGCATTGACCGGTTCAACGCATTCAGCTGCGAGGGTTTCTAAGCTAAGAGGTTGCCACATGTTGCCAAGCTGCTGGTCTCGCGCTTGCAGAACAAGCCCAGCATGTGCTTTCTGATCCCAAGCATCGTCGCACTCAAAGGTGCCTCTGCTGCAACAGTCCATGCCGGCAGCCCAAAACTGGATTGGGCCGCCGCTGGCGTCGATGACTGGAGCAACACAATAAGTGGCACCGTCCTAACACATCATTTAACACATCTCGAACGTTTAAGCACTGGGAATCTCAGTTCAAAACAGGCTTGCCGCACCACGTGCCGAAATGTCAACTTGAATTGAAGCTGTCCTTGAAACTCATGCCTTTCGTCGCATCGATACGGGCCTCCTCCGCAAATACCAACTTTCCAGCATCCAAGTAGCCAGCTGCTGGCTCAGAGGGCAACACGTTGGCATAGGCATGGCTATCATGGTAGAGCCAATAGATTGAGTAGAAATTCCTGTAGGCAACCAAGCCCAGGATGCAGGAGACCAGTATTCCAGCTATGCAAGAGATTGGCAAGATTCTCTGCCAGTGGTGATCTCCAGGTTCATGACGGATGTGCCACACAAACACAGCAAGCAGTGTCAGCACAATGAGCCACACAGAGAGTGGCATGCCATGGTAGGTTGATGCAAATAAGTAGCCTGCAGAAACATGTACACACGTTCTTCAAGCAGGTCACTCAGAAGTACTAGTGATAACAATGGCCAAAAGTAAAATGTGTAGACTCAAAAATCAAGGGCGGGCGGTTCTGCTTTATATAATTGACGCTGACAAGGATCAGAGAATTCAGTACAAATCATGCACCAAAAAAATCAATTGCATTGGCACCCTTACGGCTACTACTACCCAGGAAGCCGGCTTAAAGGCGTGCTATATAACTGCTAGCCATCCACAAGCACTTGTGCATCCAGAGTGCTCACAAGGACTCCAACAAGCCAAGGGAACGCTGTGAGCACTGTGAGCTCAAAGATGCTGAGCCTCGCCCAGGCACCAAGTGGCCCTTCATCACGCCTTTGGTGGAAGATTTCTTAAAATGATGTCATTCTGTTCACAACGATTGAAACGCTCTCTCTCTCTCTCTTTCTCTCTCACCTACTTTGCATTGGTTGACTGTCGCAGCCACCTGCCCGAGTCTTGGCCCCCCCGGCCATTGCTTCATTGTCGGCCGGTCTGCGAAACTGCTTCGCAGAAACCACTTGAGCCAAAAAACAGAACCGCAACCTCCATCACGCGGTTCTACAACTCCACAACGCAAGGACGTACCGTAATCCAAACGCTGTTATGTCATTGGAGCATGGCTGACTGCAATCACTATGCTGCCAGGCCGGCGGAATCTCCAAACAAGTGCTTGAATTTGGGGACAACGAAGTGAATCCTAAAAGTTGTGATATTCTCGCCCAAGTCCCTGCGGAAGAGACAAAAATGTTCTAAGGAAGGATGCTATGTAATATGAAGGTTACATGGTAAAAAGGGGACAAGTGTAGAGCGGGTAGACAATAAGAGTGGACGTCCTGGCACTGAGACCAGAAGCACAATGTGAAAATTATTGTGGCTCACACCACCAAGCTGCGGCCAAACCTCTAAACTCTAAACACTTTGCAAAGAAACCACTTCACCGCAGCCAAAGGTTTTTGCCTGCATTTCATCCCTGCGGCCTTTGCGAAGCCGCAGTCCAGTGTGAACAACGTGTCAATCAAGCTATGGCTATGGGTCTCCTTCCTTTGTATCAGGATCCTTCAGTTTGAGCAGCATTCGGCAGCATTCTTCCGCATTGGCATGTCGCCATGCACCAGCCTCTTGCAGAACATGTAAGTCCCACACAGCACGCTCAGCATCATTGCGCACAGACGGATCGGCTCTCAATTCCAAAAGCAAGCAACACATGGCCCAGTTCCGCCCATTCACAGCATAGTGCAATGGGGTTCCTCCTTTGGGCCCGCGCGCATCTACTTGTGATTCTGCTTCAGTAACGAGCTTAAGGCCTATGTGTCTCGTGTGTGTTGGAGGGACATTGCCCCAATGGAAGGCAATTGCATGCAGAGATGTCTCCATGCTTTGAAGACAAACATCCCGGGCACCAGCTGCCACCAATGCATCAAACACGCCCATAAAATTAATGTCGCGAGAAGCTTTTCCAATTCGTTGGGATTGGTGTGGCATATTCCACTTCTTAATGCAGAGCTGCAGGGGGCTAAACCCACTCTCTGCACAAGCATTGGGATCTGCGCGTGCTTGCAACAGAGCGCTAACACAATCAGCGTAGCCGCTCAACGCCGCTAGGTGAAGAGCCGTGATGCCACCAAGCGGTTTTTGACTAGCTGCACGGCCAAGCCTCTCAAGCAAGCTTTGTTGATACCAAACCTTCTTTGGGTCTGCATGGGCCACACGTGGCCTTTCTACGTCTGCCACCTTCCACCCACAAGGAATGCCATCCACCTGCGCTTGAAACTCCAGCAGAAGCTCTACACAGTCTAGGTGGCCTTGGGCTGCTGCAAGCTGCAAAGGCGACAAGCTCCACGATTTGAGGTCAGGTGCACGATGTGGATCAGGAGGCGAAGCACACAAAAGCCTTTTGAGGGCCTGATAGTTTCCGAAGTAGCTGTATGTCGGCCCTGGCTTGAAGCAGGAAAACCATGGCACTCTCAGATGCATCAGGTCCCTCGACTCCTGCTGCAACTGCCAGCGCGGGTGTCCGGCGCAAGGAGCTTGCAGAGGGCACCCCACGGCCGTAGTAGCTGCCATTCTCAAAGGCATCGAACCCACGAACTGTAATCAGCTCTGGGTGGAGATGAGCCATGAACTGTAGCACACCAACACTATTGGCACGGACTGCAGCACAAAAGAACGCACCTAGTGGTGCCCAGCGTTTCAGCTCATCCGATTCTTCCAAGAACCGCGCCTCCAGGGAATTCAGCGCTGACAAGGCACAATGCTCAAAGCTTTTGCAAGGAGATGACAAAATCGTAGCAAACTGTTCTGCAGTGAGCCAGCTCTGGGACTCAGTTCCCTCTCGAGTTGTGCCAGCACCGTTGCTTTGACCATTTTGACCTCGCTTGCGCAAGCTGTCACACCTTTTGCAAAGAACAGGCCGCAGCACCCGTTGTCCGATCGTTTGGCCCACGCCACACTCGCTCCAAGGGCGCTGCAACTCTCCAGCTCTACTTCGGTGAAGCTTTACTTGCTCACTAGCTAGGTTCAGGATTTCAGTGAGGCTTATTCCCGGTGACGCCAGCAAATTGCTGGCAATCTGGAAGCCTAGGCTATCCTCAACACTGTCCCTGATGCAAGTGCCTTGGTCACCTGCCCACAAGATGTAGAAATCTGACATCGCGGAACCATCTGCGCAAGAATCGCAAGAACCAGGACCACTCGCCAAGTCTTCGTCTTCTAATCCAGCAGTTCTCAATCCGAAAGCCCTGGCACTGACTCCGTTGGCTTGCTGGCTGGCGCGCGGCGGCGCTCGGAAAACATCGTTCTCCTCATTCTCGCGGCAACAATCAGGCACGGCGAGAACAGCTATTTGGGGGGCAGTCGCCAGCAACCGATGAAGCACTTGCGAAAGCGAAATGCCCCTGGAGCTTTGCCGCATCATCATCCAAAGCTCTCCTCCTTGCTCGGCACCATGCCCAGCAAAGTAGAAAAACACAAGATGTTTGAGCTCCGGTTGCGAACTCACCTGTCGCTCGAGTTTTTCAAACTCGCCCCAGAATGTGTCCTCTGTCACATCTTCGAGCATCGCAACTACAAAGCCAGAACGACGCAAGGCTCTCTGGAGCTTGCGACCTGGTTCCATTGTATGCTCCAGATCCGCCCGGCTTGGGCTGTAAGCACTGTTGGTCACAATGAAGGCACGTCGCAGGGCCAATTTTTGACTAGCAACAAAGGTGGCTTCAGCATGGGATCGATCTATTGGTTCTATTGCAGCTGCCACATGGTCTTGCATTGCGTCTTGGCTTGTCGCGTCCTCGTCGGCTGGGGACCTCTCTGAAACCGGTGGAAGCTCTCCTTGTTGCGCACGATCTTTCATCAAGCTGCCAACGCCTGTTGTGCCCGAAGCGGCCCATGTTCCTGCGGTAATCACTTGGATCACACCTTGGCGACCTTTTGCTTGAGCCTTCTGAAGCGCTGTGTGCCCTTGGTTGCATCGGATCTCTGGATCTGCCTGAAGCATCAGCAGTTGCTTCGCGATGTTGCTGCGTCCAGTGCGCGCAGCCATATGCAATGGAGTGCCTCCACCATTGCCTAGACCATTGAGCTCCGCCCGGGCATCCAGCAAGGCTTCCACCATTTTCCAGTTGTCGTGCCCCACCGCCTTCAGATTTCACTGCAATGCTACGCTTCATTGCCAATGGTTGACAACGCGAAGTAATTCTGAAAAGTGTGGACCAATCAATCTGAAGCATGCAAATCAAGTTGGAACAAGAACCAAAAGCCGTCATATGCCACATATTAGTATATATACGTATATTGTATATACATATGTATAAGCTGAATGCACAACTCAAACCATGAAAATGCCAAAGCAACATAGAGCAAGTTACACCACGATCGGCACATCACTCCCAGCCCCAAACTCCAACCGGTTTTTGGCGACACTGGCGTCAGACACTGCGTCAGAATGCTACAAGGCAGGGGGCCTCCTGGAGCTGGTGGCAGTCGGGATATCCACCAGTAAGGCATCACTCGGGATTCAGTCAATCTTGCGTGTTCGCCCACATGGGTATAAAGGTGTTCTTGACTGAAGTCAAGACTGGCCAAAAACATGAACACTATCGTTCAAGTGGGCCTTTGGGATCTTCGCGCTGGCCCACAAGGAACTGCAAGAAGTTACTTTTCAGAAAAAGGGGTGTGGTGAGGAAACTCGAAGTCTCTCCTACACCTATTCTCCATCTTGGCTCAAGCCGCGTAACTCGAAGAGTCGTGGGAGCAGCGGAAAATAAGTGCGTCGGGATTTCAAAACGAGAAGTGTACCAAAGTTTTCGATCGTTGGACAGGACAACAACCTCCTCAAGGCTGACGCGTTGAAAAACGCAAGAAACTGGGGCGGAGGGATTGGGTCTCTGAGTTAGAGTACGAAGATGGCACATATACAATTGACAGCTGCAAGCAGCAGCCCAAGCTACTTCAACCTTTTCTACCGGCGCGCTGGTCTACCGGTGAGAACGGTGTAAGCCTTGCGCTTAAGCAGTCAATCCCACGTACCGACCAAGACCTTTCAGGTCACAGCGTTAGGAAAATCTAGTTCCTGATTCGAATATGAAAATGTCCGTTGGGAGCGCGAAAAGTCGAAAAGTCGAAAGCTCAAAAAATTGATTTTGGCTTTCGGACACATTCGAAAAGGAAAAGAAAAAATCCGAAAAGTTGAAAAGTTCATTTTGTCTCAGGCCCAATCGAAAAGTCACAAATTCCGAAAAGTCGAAAAATCCGAAAAAGTCGAAAAGTCGAAAACGAACGAATCCAGTGTCCTTTCCAATGTAAGTCACTAAGTCACACTGAGTCACGGGCGACAAAGAACCTTCCATGGACCCTTCTACTTTAGAAACATTGAAAATTTCAACAAACATTGCAAGGTTGGGAGTTCGGACCGCCAGTCTAAGGCATCAGAAAGAATTAGACGTTAAGGTGGTTCTGGCGCTTCCAGCCTGGGAGTTTCGAATGACACTCTTGAGAGCGGTTATCCTCCTTGGAAATGGCTGCGGTTTCCTGAAGAAGTGCCAGAAAAACGACATTGCACGATGGAGCGGATGGAGCGCATGGAGCGGATGGTGCGGATGAAGCGGATGGCGCGGATGGAGAGGATGGAGCGGATGGAGCGGATGGAGCGCATGGAGCAGATGGTGCGGATGAAGCGGATGGTGCGGATGGAGCGGATGGTGCGGATGGAGCGGATGGAGCGGATGGCGCGGATGGTGCGGATGGAGCGGATGGAGCGGATGGAGCGGATGGAGC